AACCTCTGGAAAAAAATAAGAGACAACTTTAAAATTATCAGTTCCTATGATTTTACTCTTTATAGGTAGGCTAAATGGCTTCTTTCTTGTATGTGTTCTGATTGAGTTTGGGTTTATAAAGGCTCAGTGCCTTTGTATCTCAGTATGGATTTGGTTTTGTGTGTTCAGAATGGTAGTATTTTTGGTTCATTATTATGCAATCTAACAGAAAAGACTAATGAGAAAGTTTTTTTTTCTTCGTGGACTGCAGGACGCCCCATCCCCACAGCCCATCCAAGCCTATCTAGTTATGTTTTTCAAACCAGTCAGGGTCARTGAGAGTGTTTTCCTTTGTAAACAAAATGTTAAACTTGATAATTATGTAAAAACATGAGAGTGTTTTTAAACATAGCTTCTCAGCGGTTGTAAAATCCATTTTGGCTCGTTCCATTCTCTGTGCTTTCTTATTTAAAGGAGGGATAAAGCTGAAGGAGTGAGGAGAAGCCACTGCTCATTAACCCCTCAGTACTTCACATTCAGTTCTGAAGGCTCATTGTGCCAAAGGCCTAGTGCTTCTATAATGATAGACTGGGCTGGAGGTGGGGGTGTTGGGGGGTCTTTTTTTTAATCCTAAACATAGTGTCTCAGTATTTACTTTCAGTCTGACCACATAAAGCAGCAAACAAATGACATATGTGCAGAAAAACAACGATGTCCTTACAACAAAGAAGTAAATTTCTATTATGGGGTGACAAAACTTTTGGTAAAGAACAATCTTTATAACTGYCCTCTGAAGATATTTTCACCACATCAGAAAATGGTAACATGTAAATTCAGAAAGTTAGAACATTTTGCACAACAGTTAATGTTCAATCTATTTAAASCAGCAAGGATTCAGAAATAGCTCCTTAATCATGGTTTTATATGTTGCAGGTAGAACACCACAGAGTGAGCAGATGGTTGATTTAGACCTGCCTTACACTGCTGAGACAAACTGCATGAACTTCCTGCTGTATTTGCACCTCTCGTCTACACGAACACATTTCACTTAAAACAAATTGTGATTTTAAAGAAAAACTTTAGACCGATATGAGCTAAATCTGTGGCACCTTGTCATTGGAGCACTCAGGGGATGCAACACCTAAACAGATCCCAGGAACAACAGACACCTCTCTGTCCAGAAGAACACAAATCAGACCTCCACCGAAGCTATGAAAATAGTAAAGAATCAGATTTAATAGGAGAGTAAAAGTGCTGTTTAAATAAGCAGCTCTGAGTAATGTTTCGTTGTCAGTAATAATTTACTTGGTAGCTAATAATCAGAGGTTGGGAACGTTGTTCTTCTGGCTGCAGACCCCTCCTCCCCCCTTCCCACCTTCAACCTCTTGTGAGGACAGAATAAAGTTGTTACCGCGGGGACGCTTTAATTGGAGTTTTATGCAGCTAAACTAATGGAAGTTAACGTTTGGTGATTTAATTGGACCCCCCCCACCCTCGGTCCGGCTCTCCAGGCCACTCCCGAAGCTTCCCGTTAATCTCCCATTTTCGAACCCATTCAGAGTTCGGACAAAGAGCCCGGCTCGCCTTTTCTTCTCTTCCTGTCTCAAACGAGCTCCTTTGTGGGTCGCAAATTGCCTAAATCCCCCCCACCGTCTGCGGASAGGACCGCATGAAGACTTGGAGACGTTCTCGTGTTGTTGACGGATGATTAGAGCGCGCTTCCGCGACCTTTAATCTGGCCCGGCCTGTGCGCGCGCCTTAATTAAAGCTCCCGCTCTATTTGTGGATGTTGATGCTCAGATGTTCAGAGGAGGAGCGGAGAAAAGACCAACCTGATGTGACGCGCACCCCCCTTCCCCCCCCCCCAACCCACACACACACACACACACACACACACATACTCTTCTTCGGCCTGCGGGCTGTGGGCCTACATATATATGCAATGGTGTGTGTGTGTGTGTGTGTGTGTGTGTGTGTGTGTGTGTGTGTGTGTGTGTGTGTGTGTGTGTGTGTGTGTGTGTGTTTTAAGCGGTGTCAGTAACTACAGTTCTATCTGCAGGTCATGAATGACCAGTTTTTAAGAATCAACGTAAAAAACTTCTTCACCTGACAAGCCGTTCCATCATCACTGACTGTTTGAGTCCATGGCATCAACATTTTGTCATCATTTTTATTCATGTTTCCTTTCAATTTTCCATTCCACTGTTCAGATTTGTTTTATGTTTTAATCATTTGATAAGACATGTTGGCTCGTCCTTCTCATTCTCAAGGAGTTTCTTTTGGTCTGGAAGTGGGCAACTCTAACTTTATGCTGACACATAAAAATTTGTCCAACATACAGTACATGACATACACTGAAGATGAAATAAAAAACTGAAGGCCGCATTTAGTCATATATACTGCTAACAATAAACCAGCAGTCACTGTGTGAGGGGTGGGAGACATCCTGAACAGGCTGGAAGTCCATCACAGGACAACTTTTCACTCTCTCACACCGAGGGACAMTTTAGAGTTACCAAACACACATTCACAGAGAGAACAYACAACCTATCAGAAAGGCTCCTGGTTGGGATTTGATCCGGCGACCCTCTTGCTGAGAGGGATCAGCTCTACCAACTGAGCCACTGCTACATGCTTTTTATTTTTGGTATAGGCCTGAGAAGCCTTATTGTGGATAAGCATAAGTAAACCGAACCGAACTGAATGAATTGTTTTGTGTCTTTTTGTTTTACAGACTTTCATTTTATTCAGTCAAATCACTGATTTCACCTCCAAAATATCAGGTAGGTCTAAACCCAATCAGCTCTTTTGAACAGCCATGTCTTAGTTTGTGTTGACTTACTTTAAAAAATAATTTTTCTTTGTTTAGACTATTTATTTTCAGCTGCAGTAACTCGTTAGGATCCACAGGCAAAACTAAGGATGTTGTGGTTGGAGGAACATTAGACCTGAAACAAACTTGAGAAGCTAAAATTTATATATATACTGTATATATATATATAATTTTTTTTAACAAAATCAAAAGGCTTACTAGGCCACCAGGACCAGGAGGCACACAAAAGGTTTGTGGCATTGACACTAATAGTGCACTGCTGGTGAGACAGCCTGATATGGAAATGTAGAAGCACGTGAGTTGATTGCTGCTTGAGAAAACACTGCAAAGCAGATAAAATGATGKCATAAGAGAACACAAGGGAACTGAAAAGATGAACACACATGTAAAACTACACACACGAACTACAAGACCTACTTAAACAYAATAAAATACAAAAGCTAAAAACCAGATTACAACAGATGTGCAGATATTTGTTTTTCAGCTGAGTGAGATAATCRACATGAGCCAACAGAAAACTATAAAGTTGTCTAAAACAGTTGATGGTAGTTGCTGAAAGTCATTCTCTAGTGCTTGGAATGGTCGAACTCTGGCATTAAATGCAGCAAAAATGCATTCCTTCATGGAACCATGGTTCTTTTATTAAATTTTACTTTTAAAGTAGGTTTTACAAAATAAGAATATCAGTTGGTAAAGGGATTAGTTTGTGTTGGTTTTTCCAGAAATAAAAGGAGCTGGATTTCAGTGGGTGATTTTCTGCCAGCGGATGTAAACAGCAGTGAACGATTTTGTGTCACTTCTCATTCTTGTCACTCCGGAAATAAAACAAATAAACAATAAACACTGTAAAACAAAAGGTTCTGCTTGTCCTTTTGAGATGACAGATCCACGGTCAGTGCAGATGTTCCAGCTGTCCTGATGCGTCACCAGCKCCGGTGAACCTGCAGGGGGTTGCACGGTGCCCCGCGTGGGGTCTCTACTCTGAACTTCACCGGTCTGAGGGGCACCGCAGACAGACGAAGACGAGCGAGGCCTTCATCTGCCAATATTAGTTCTGGAGGTTTCTGGAGGTCTGCTAATAAGCGTGTTAATAGGAAGGGCTCGGATTGAGAGCACGCATGTTCCTGTGCGCGGAACACGCGCAGCTTTAATATCTGTCCAGAGGCCGTGAGCAGAATAACCAGGCTGCTTTTAACACGGAGGCACAGATGGGGAGCTGCGATCCGAGTACTCCATTATCTGCGGTTCTGATGAGCCTCCTTCGCCCACCCCCCCGCTGCAGCCCCCCGGGGCCGTTTAGCTGCTTAATGTAATTCGCTTTCAAGAGCCGGTGTTACCTCTGATCATTTGCGCCATTATACCGGAGTCAAGTAGGAACGCTGCTTTATTAAGATCGTGTCTGTCAATAAATGTTCAAGCAAAGTGGTTGCAGCGTTTGTGTGTGTGTGTGTGTGTGTGTGTGTGTGTGTGTGTGTGTGTGTGTGTGTGTGTGTGTGTGTGTGTGT